ATTACTGGTCAGATGAAATCTGGTGAGACTCCCAATACTATGGCCCTGAAATACATTCGGTGCCTGGAATAAAACTCACCCCCAGGGGCGGGCTCTAAGCCCAATAGTTAACAAGATGTACACGCAGACCACTCAACCCAGGATGCCGCACCCACACACTCAATGGTAATACAATACCAAAAAAAGAGCAATAGACCATGGGACACCAGAGGACCAACATTCAAACTGAGGAAATGCAGGACAAACAAGAGTGCATAATTATGAGGGGCACAAGGGGAGGGTTGCAGGGTAGGGAGGAGAGGAGACTGGATTAGTGTTGGACATGGCAAATGGGGAATGACACTAAATGTACGCGTGACGTTGAATGTAAAATAGGCTCTTAAAACAAAGATAATAATTAAAAAAAAAAAGAAAACTGATTACTTTAATGAACTTATTTGCATGTGACCAATATAAAAAATACCCATTAAAATGATTTATATGATAATTGCATAACAAACATCTATTCCACCTTCTGCCAAAGACAATGAACTCATTGAAAGAATCAATGTCTCCACTGCCTGCTGCAACATCAATTTGCTACATTTTGGCTATCTTACCAGAGATGCAGTTGGACTATGGGATACATGCTGATATCACCACATGTGCCTTCATCCTGCACCCAAGGACACAGAATGGCATGGTTGGATGTTATGTAAGATAGAAATAAAATAGTCATTACCTTGGCTTCCTCCCAGAGTAGCTAGTCTGAAGACTTCTTTGAGGGTGAGGCTTTTCTCATTTACCTTATTAATTAAAAGGATATTGGAAACCATCACTGCTCTTCTGATTGCATCAAGCATGGACGATGAATAACCACCAGCAACATCTGTGGTGAATAAGACAAAGCCAACCTTGTGAAGGACAGATAAGGGTAAACAGTAACCTTATGAGGGTAAGTGGAATATTAGACACACAAGATGAGTTTCTGTTTTTAGTGACAGATACAATCTCTAATATACTTACAGAAAAAATACTATCTATGAACACAGAGTAGCTACAGACCAACATTTAAAGGCATTCAAAGCCTGCAATTAACTTCAAATGTATATATTAGTTTCCTAGAGATGCAGCAATAAATTACAACAAACTTGATGGCTTAAAACAACAGAAATTTATTTTCTCACAGTTCTGGAGGCTACAAATCCAAAATCAAGGTGTCAGCAGGCTGTTTCCCAAAAGTTCTAAGGGACAATCCTTCCTTGCTTCGTCCGGCTTCTGGTGGCTTCAGGTGCTCCTCGATTTGTGACAGCATCACTCTAATCCCTGCCTCCATCTTTACAGGCCATCTCTCCTGTGTGTCTGTATATGTCTCTCCTTTTCTGTCTACAGGCACTCATCATTGGGTTTATGGCTCACCCTAGTTCAGAACGATCTCATCTCATCTCAAGATCCTTACTTTAAAAACATATGCAAAGACCTTTATTCCCAATTAGGTCACATTCTGAAGTTCTAAACATGTCTTTTGGGGATCACAGCTCAAGCCACTACAATATCCAAATGGTTAAATAAAAGTTAGAGAATGAACTCTTATCTCTGAATATTCCTTGGTAGACCTCTCATGGAAATGGTCCAAATATTATTGCATAGTCATAAAGATAATTTAGATAACATAATACATATTTTAAAATAAGCTCATTGTTCTGCATGGGATCTTAAAATATTTTATCTGACATAGAGAGGTACATGGGAGGTGCAGACAACAAAGATGAACCCTTTAGCACATACAGTACTGCGTCGTCTGTGAAGGAAAACATGGGTATATAGATGGGTAGATGGGTAGATGGGTAGACAGCTTGAACTATTAGGTATGTCTATGCAGTGGGGAGTGTGCCCAAGACCATGGGGTGGCAGACAATTGTTCTACAAGTGTATTGGTATGTTCTGTAAGAATTCCCCGGTTAATAGTAGAGCTGAAAAGGGACAAGGTTGTAGTCATTGCTTGGTCACAGCTAGCTACCCAGCAGTACCGAGTAGTTGAACTGATGGGCTCAGGACAATAGTGGCAGGGGACATCAAGCTCAATTGGTATAACATACTATACAAAACATTGTTCCACCTCCTACTTGGCAAGTAGTGACTGGGATCTTAAAAGCTTGCAAGCCGCCATCTAGAGACAACAATGGGTCTCTCCTCATCCAGAGCAAAGAAGAATGAAGAAAACCAAGGATTCATGGAAACAATTAGTCTTAGTGACTGGTACACCATGCGATCCACAGCCTATACAACTATGAGACCAGCAGAACTAGATGGTGCCCGGCTCCCACTGTCAGTAACTCGGAGGGGGATCTATGTAGGAGATGCTGGATAGAGAGGGAGAACAATGTGGAACAAAACTCAAAATCATTTGAAAAAAAAAAGGGGACCAGGTTTGCTGGTCTGATAGAGCTTGGTGGAACCACTGAGACTATGGCCCCTAGGTGCCCTTCAGGTCTGGAATTGAACCTACACCTGTAGCTTCCAGCCAAACAAAAGACAGGCATATGAGGTGAACGTTTACACTAGGTAGATACACTCCTTGGAGAGAACAATTATGGGAGAATAGAAGGGCTGTGCATGCACAGAGAGACAGCTCAGGGGGCAAGAGTGCATGGAGGGATGAACTCAGAGAAGAGGTAACTATTGGGAGGAAATGGGAGAGGAGCTGTTGCATTGCTGTAAATTGTAGTCAATGTCATGAGACAAAGTGTATGTGAAATGCTGTATGGAAAGTGAATTTGCTTTGTAAACTTTCATCCAAATCACAATAAAATATATATATGTATGTATTTTTTTTTCTGACACTTCCAGACAAGTATGAGGCAGAACTAATATCAGTATATGTTATGAAAACATGTAAAAAGTAAATATGTAATTGTGGATAAACTGGAAGGGAGAAAAGGAAACAAAAACAATGGTGTAATTATGGTAGATTTAAATACTTGCAGTTATTTAAAAAGAAATTACAGAAAGTAGTATTTTCCCCAATAACTAATCAAAACTATTGCTATAGAAAAAATAAGGAGATATCAGAAAACAACTCTATGAGAGAAGCCTTATATATTTAAGAATGACTCAGATTTTATTTAGTTTAAAGAAATAAAATGACTAGCACATGAGTAGGAATAGAGCTTACTTATGAAGAAATCATTTACAGGCGGAAATTTTAGCATTTAAAGCTTCCTGCCTGAAACATTTTATTATCTTTGACATAAACTTGATCTAAGAAATCACACTTGATCTAAACAGACAATTTTAAATAATTTCCCTATGTGACCATCCATAAACACAGAAATTCCAAGAGGTTTTATTTCCTTTGCAAATATGTCAGGATAAGGCTTTGGTAATAAAATACTGGAAGTGACCTATTTCCTTAACACCTGTTAAGATGGTCTGCTGAAGGTAAAATGTTCCCATTGTGCTTCTGCTACCTAGACAATTTTATTAAAAATAAAATAAAGTTTAAATTATAAAAATCAATAATACAGTTGCACATATAATAATCTCAATCAGTCCTTTATTCTTTGAGGTTTCTAAATCTTCTTCACCAGTTAATTGGAGTTCATTAATCCACATCTGCAAACATTTGGTTAACATCTTTCCTCATTGTTGTTGCTGTTGTTAAGTGCCTTCAAGTCATTTCCGACTCATAGTGACCCCATGCACAGCAGAACGAAACACTGCCTGATCCCGCGCCAGCCCCACAATCCCTGCTATACTTGAGCCCATCATTACAGGCACCGTGTCAATCCATCTTGTTGAAGGCCTCCCCCTCTTTT